TATGAGACTGACGTTGCTATCTATAGCTGAGTACGTATAAGTGAGAAAGTGAGTGAGAGTGAGAGTGAGAGTGAGAGGAAGATGAATGAGTTGAAGCAACATATGTACATTGATGAGTGAACTGTGCAGCCAGTTTACACGACAACACGGATATCAGGTCAAAGATGGATGATTTTAGCAGATTTGGATAGTCAGCAATCCAACTACATAAGGAAGCTTCTGTGCTCGTTTTACCTCCGTGACGGGCATTGATTCCATCCGGGCCAAGCGCCGTGCCGCCGATGGCCGGTGAAGAGTCAAACCGACCGCCATGATCCCAGGGGGCTACAGCAACCGGTGGCCCCGGCTTCCCACCTTAGGTGAGCTCACCGCCTGCAGTTTTCAGTGGAGGCCGTCGACCTTGCGAATGAATTACCCCGCTACCCCGCCATCCAAGAAAGCTGCAAAAAAAATTCGACCCGCGCGACGCAATTCCTGCTTATCAAGCACCCGGAACCCTCGATTGACGATTAATAAAGCAACATCGTCTTCCTGCTTCTGTACCCTTGCTGTCTCTGCAATAAATAAGGGATTGATACCCAGCGTTCTTTCATACGTCATACCCTCTTGTCCTTTTTCTCCTAAGAAGACTCGAGAGGATTTGGCGCATTACGTCCAAGAGTGCGAAAAGCTCTACTCAATAATTCTACGAAAACCGAACCCATCACCAAACACAACCGAGACAAACAAGCAAGATGTCGGCCCCTCACGAAAAGACAACCCAAGACGACGGCCACGAGTCGGAGCCCGAGATGCTCGAGGCCGACGAGGTCGGCGAGGAAGTCAACGTCGACGACGAGGACATGCCCATGGACTCTGACGACGAAAACGAAGAAATCAACCTCCAAAATGACTCGGTCGCCTACTTTGACGCCCACAAGGACTCCGTCTTCGCCATCGCCCAGCACCCTGTCCACCCGACCCTCATCGCCACCGGCGGCTCCGAAGGCGACGCAGACGACGCCCCCGGAAAGGGCTACCTGCTCTCCACCGCCGCCGCCGCCTCCCGTCCCGTCCTGCCCGCCTCCTTCTCGGGCGACGCCGCCCAAAACCAGTCCACCGAGCTCCAGTTCATTTACCCGATCGACGGCCACACGGACAGCATCAACGCCCTGGCTTTCACCCTCCCCAAGGGCGACTTCCTCGTTAGCGGCGGTATGGACGGCAAGCTCCGCGTCCATGCCCTGCGCGTAAACTCCCCCACCGCTGAGGCCGCGAGCGTCCAGATCAAGTTCATCGCCGAGGCGCAGGAGGTCCCCGAGATCAACTGGATCGCCGCCTGCCCGAGCCCCAAATACCCCAACACCATCGCCATCGGCGCCAGCGACAATTCCGTCTGGGTATACACCATCGATATCGCTGCGGGAGGTGGTAACCCGGCGAACTGCTTGCAGCTCGTGCAGACGTACTGGCTTCACCAGGCCCCCGTCACCGCGGGCGCTTGGACGCCCGATGGAAACTTCCTCTGCACCGTCTCCGAGGACGCAAGCTTGTACGTGTGGGATGTCTGGGGAGAGGCGGCGGCCGCGGGACTGGTGGAGAGTAACGGCCAGACGACGGTCAGCTTGACGGCCGAGGACCAGCGGTTCGTGGTCGAGGGCGGGTTGTACAGCGTCGCGGTGGATCCCAAGGGCACATTGGTCGCTGTCGGTGGTGCAGGTGGCGCCATCCGTATCGTGAGCTTGCCTAGGTTGGCGAGCAGTGCGCAGGCTGGCAAGGGCGGAAAGAGCAAGAGCGCCTCGGACGTTGTGGGCGGAGGACAGATTCTCGCGGCGCTGCAGACTGCGTCGGATTCGATCGAGGCGCTGAGCTTTACGACGGCGGCGGGCGGACCGGGTCAGATTTCTACGTTGCTTGCTGCTGGCTCCGTGGATGGCAGCGTTACCGTGTTTGACGCTGGTAGGAGGTTTGCTGTCAGGAGGAGTCTAGTCGGTGCGCACGAGGAGTTCAGTGTCGTCAAGGTAGAGTTTGTGAAGAACAGCTGGTTGTTGACGACGTGTGGTATGGATGGTGTTGTGAGGCGGTGGGATCTGAGAGCACAGGATGGTGGTCTTGTCAAGGAGTGGAAGGGACACCGGGGTGATGGAGAGGGTGGTGGTGTGCTTGGCTTCGTGCAGGGAGAGACTGGGGAGAGGATTGTTACTGCGGGTGACGATGGTGTCGTTCTGGTGTTTGAGGCTTAAGGGCTTGATCACAAGTCTGAGATCTCAAGATGTGAGGGAGGATTTGCGTTTGCTTTTGCCATGTTGGAATTCAGGAATGATGATGAGCTTGGAAGGAGGGGCATAGATAAAATAGGGGACAGCATATGCCTTTTGCGCTGGTATGATATGGACTTGTGGATTATTCCAAGTCCCCTCATGAATTGGAGTTTCGCATTACTGATATACAGCTTTTGCTGTCTTGATGCAATCCTTTGATTTCTGCTACGTGGCTACCTATCTCTGCTCTCTAATATGATGTCTATGGTTGGCATGTGGGAATCCACACGGTGAGACATGTAAGTTTCTTTGAGTTCGTCTCAAGTTCCGTCGAGCTTAATTACACGTGTCTATTTTCCTTCAGTACTCATGGTTCCCCTCGTCATTCACTCCAACCTGGTCTATGAAGTGACCACTCTCATCCATAAACTTACACCTACCGATTACAGAGCGGAGGGCCGACGTTGCCCGTCATATTTCATGGCCGACAGACAAGTCATCGATATGGTCTCATTGAGAAGCGACCAGCTACTCGCCCTTATTCTGATGGTGCTCGGTATCTGGGAATTCCCGCGGGTTTGCATCGTGCTGGCGTGTTCCTGGCTCTCGTGGGGCACGCTCGTTTCTCGTGAGTGCCCCAATCGACACCATTCTTCCACGCAGGATGACGATCGTTCTATGGCATAGACCTGACAGATCGTGTCTAGTATATGTCATACTCGGCATACTTCCTTTTCTCAATGAGATTGCGGCTCCTCTCCTAAGAACTCTATTGTTGGAATTGAGAAGGATATCTTGAATGCTAGTGGTAAACCTTCATGCATCGCATTCCCTGCCGAGCACTGGCGGCACGTATGCGTATTTCCCGGTTGTTACGTCGTGCTTTGAATTATCATGAACGCAGGGAGCAAAGGGACATCATGTCGATGCAATGCAAGAACATGTAACAATCATAAGTTGACATTTCAATTATTAGACTACCTCATCGTAGTCGCCACCAGATGACATCATTCATGTGATCGTCAACCCCCGGCAGCTCATTATCTTCCTCTCTCTGTTCACCTTTCATCCCTTGCATTATCTAGCAGTGCTTAGGTGGATCGCTCGCCCGGAGGAATACCGTCTCCCTTGACGGATTGGCCACCGCTGGCGGCAAGGCCATCGATGGCGAGTCCCTTCTCAGGCTCGGGGAGGGGCGCGGTCTTGTCGGCGCGATCGACGTGAGGATCCTAGAGGACAACTGATTAGTCGTAATTTACTATTAGGAGCAATTGACATCTAACAGTGGTTCGCCTTACCTTGATGGCGCCAGCGCCGTGGATAACGTCATGGGACTCCTCGACCTTATTGTCAGAGGCTCCGGATCCGTCGCGAGGCATGATGATGGTTATTCGTTGAGTAAGATTTGGAAATTACTTGATTTGTGAACGGGTTCTTTTGACCGTCGGATGAGAGTAGTGTATGAGATGGAATCGTTTGATGGACAAGTGAAGGGGAGCACGTCTAAAGAAGGCAGCTGCCAGACCTTATTTAAAGGGCCATGAGCTCTGGACTCGAGTTGACGTCATGTAAGTTCATACCTTAGCTTTTGCCTCAATGCTCCCCAAAGAGGGGTGAAGCTCTGCTCGAGCTCGTTGAGGTTCGAGGCTTGAGGCTTTGAGGCGTCAAAACGTCATGATGTGGGGGAATGATGGTACTCCCGGACGGCGCTAAGGTCCCCAAGGTACTAGATCGCAGATCTCCCCGTCCGATTTGCTTCCCGCTCCCCGTCCGCCTTCAATGTCGGAGTAAAATCTCCGTGCATGTGTTGTGTGCAGTGAAGTGTTTCTTGCCAACTAGGAGTGTTTATTGAATAAAGTGAAGATGCTGTGAGATTGTGTCGTCGAATGGCCAAGATCATGAATTTCAAGAACTGGTCGACGACTGGATGCCGTTTGCCAGGTACCTATAGTGCCTACCAAAGTAATTGTCTAGCAAAGATTAGGTTAGTACGCAAGGGACGGAAGGTGTGCATCCCGCTCCCTTTTCGTAATAGCGGCTGTTCCCCAATGTCGTCAACTACATCTTCACCACTCATCTTCGCCATTCCCTCCGTTTTCCCTGTCGGCCATCTTACTTCATGGCTTGAATACCACGTTCTGATGCTTGTGCCAAGCACAGCGAAGGTAGCGTTCAGTCGGAAGAAGCTTGCTCCTCTTCCTTCCTGTTCACTGCTTCGAGAAATGTTCTAGGCGTCCGACAGACCGGTGCGCCTAGCAAACAACGATCACCAAAGCGGCACATCTTCGGTCAACATGAACTACATTTCGTCATGATAGACATTCGGTTCTTCTACTGCAAAGATTTTAGCCTCAATGAGGTCCGGGAAGGACTGTATATAACGACTTATATAAGTCAGAGGTACGCCACACCAACAACAGTCTGGAGCGACCGACCATTGACCGTGCATAACTGCCCATAGTGCCGGCCTGGGATGGAGTCTCTCATGCGGTGCAACGTTTGTTCCGATTGCCCCTGTGCGGGCCGAAAAGTTTGAGCGAAAACGAAGGCACGGATGCAACGCCGAGACCCCCTTTTTCTTCTCCTTCAACATGGCTCTATCCTCAGTCCACGAGTCACGGCACTCGAGGAGACCCTCCGCCGCGGGCAGATGCCGAGGAACTTGAAGACTGCCGTCCACCGAAAGCATCTCATCTCATGGACTCATTCGACAATGTCGTGGGGCTATCCACATATACAATTGAGTCTTCACGACAGCGCCGGCGATATCACTACTTTGGGACATTGACTTGAAATCGTTAAACATGACGCATTTTATTTCTATTCTAAACCCAAGCACCAGACAAACCCACGCTTAGCTGCTGCTGGTAGCAATAAGCTGCGACAGACCCAGGACCTGGGCGGTAGTAATCACATCAGCAGAGGTGTTCCACCCCTCGTTGAACGGCAGACGTTCCTCCTCAAAGACAACCTTCAACCACTCGACCGGCGCAGCAGGCGCGGTGTAGCTCTGGCCAAGGGTGCCGAGGATGACGGCAGACTCGCCCAGAGAAACGGTGACCTGGCTGGTCGTCAAGTTGAAGGACGGGTTCGTCGCCTTTGCGGTGGCGATGCGCTTGCTGCGCGCGGAAGCCATGGTCGCGACGCCGACCTTGTTGTCGGAGGCAACGGCACCGGACTCGAGGTAGCCCTTGGTCTCGGCCCAGACCGTCGTGTTGAACGTCTTTGCGTCGCCCGTCACAGCAAAGTCGGCGCGGGAGAGACTGCCGTCGTGCTCGATGACGTTGTGCTTGGCGATATCGTCGAGGTTGAAGGTGCTCGCGTTGCCGGTGGTGGAGGTGGCAAAGGCGGGCGTGCCGAGGGTGCGGACGAGGGACTCGTTGAAGTGCAGGGCGGAGCCGAGGCCGGCGATGAGGTCCTGCATGGAGATGGACTTGCCGTCGCGGGCGAGGTAGCCGTGGTTGGCGAGGGAGTTGAGCATCGGGCAAGGACCGCGGACGGCGCCGCCGGCGACGTCGGGGGCGAGCCAGGGGTGGGCTGCGGGAGCGGCGTCGCGGGGGACGGCGGCACCGGTGACGGACATGGCGCAGGTTGCGGCGAGGACTGCTGAGGCGCGCATCTTGTATGAGTCTTTGGGGAGAGATATGGGGTTCTTGAGAAACAAAGAGCGTTGGGAAGTTTTGGGATTTCTCGAGCTTCTGGAAAGACAGTGATGGCCCTTACAAGTGTGCCTTTGATGTTGTGTAAAACGAAGGTGGTCCGGTGAGAGGATGAGTGCGGAGGCTGGAGAATAGAGTCAAGATCACGAACAGAGACGGTCGAAGAAAGCTGCTTTATACAATTGTTCAAAACCTGGGGGTCTACGACTAAGGAGGGGCCTATAAACAGATACACAACGCATAGGGCTGGGCCATCCGAGTTAAGACTCGGGGATTCTCCTTTAAGGTGTCAACCCCGGGCGGCGGCGCCGTCGACGCGGCGAATCCGACAAAGTCCACGCCTTCCACGGTACTCATCGAATTGTGCCCAGGCACCTTTCTTGCTTTCTTTCTCTTCTAGAAGCAGCGGAAGGGTAGCCGTGCCTCGGCAGTAAGGTCAAACCCTGACCAGTAGCCGCCGCAGTGACGGAGCAACTATGATCTATCATTATAAAATGGGCTGCTTATACGTTCATCCCTTGTTCGATGAGCCCACTGGGGAGTCTTATTTGAAGTTATACAGCGTTTTGCTTACCTTTTCATGACGTGTTATTGGACGGGGAGTTGGGTGAGCCGAGGTGAGCCCCTTTTAAACATTCTAATTGAGTTTGAAAAAGAATGGAAACCTGGGTGAAAAATACGACTTTGACGTGCTTGGCGGGGACGTTTGTGGGCGGCCTTGGGTCGCCGTGTCAGGATGGCCCATGAGATGTAATATGGAGAGCTCCGAGAGAGCAGCAACTGTCAATGTACCTTTGGGACTCTGTGTAAGGGGGCGGGAGATGTACAGCTGGGGTTGTGGACCTTCAAGCGTAGATCTAAGGACGACCTTGGCTTTCCGAATGTTATCAACCAATAAACAGTCGCCTTGTTGGCTAAGTGGTATAGCGTCTCACTAGTATTAGTGACATGAGAAGATCGGCGGTTCGATTCCGCCACGAGGCAAAAAGAGCTCAACAAGGTTCACTTTTGGACTTTTTCGCTCTTGAATATGATTGTCTTATAGGTATTTGACCTGAGATGCAGACTCCATATGTAATGCCGTTGTCTAGATGCACCCACGTCCCTCCATCAATGTAACAAACCTCCGTGCTCATTTCATGGCACCACAGCTCCCGCATCCACCCTCCCCTCCACAACCACCACCACAACCGCCTCCACACCCAGCATCCTCCTGGCAAGCAGCAGGGAGATACTCCTCGTCAAACGCCTCCCTCCAAAGCGCCCTCATATCCGTCGACAGCACCGCCAGACTCTCGTCGGGGATCTCGTCGTCGTGGTCCACCAGCTTCCCCGTCGTCCGCTTCGAGTAGGCGAGGTACCGCGCCGGCGCGAGCTGGTGCGTGTGCCAGACGAGGTCAATGTCGAGCGTCGGCACCATGACGGTGCCCGGGTGCGCGGCGATAAGGCGGAAGAATTGCGCGTAGCGGGTTTGCGCCGCGGCCAGGAGGTCTGCGGGGCTTGCGCTGCGGAGCCAGGCATGGGAGGACATTTTGAGGGAGAAGGAGAATTGGCGGTTGATTGCTGCGGTGAGGGGGTATGTGAAGAGGGTTGTTCCCGTGGGCGAGGCGTGGGTGAAGGTGCCGGTTTGGGAGGTTGGAGATGAGAGGAGGGAGGGGAGGTCGATTGAGGTGATCAGGGACTCGAGGTTTGATGATCTCGACTATGAATGGTCAGCATACTTTGTCTACTAGTTGTGTCTTCCTCTTTACAAGGGGCTGCGAGAGTACAGAAGAGAACTTACAATTCCAGACCATTTGATGCCATCCAGACCCAGACGACCACCAAGCTCAATGAAACGGGCGTATGCCTTGGGGTGCAGCATCAGCGCGTGCCACGCCATGAGCACGTCAACGGGCGGCATCTGCTCCGCCGGCCTCTCGGCGCTGGTACTCCATTGCTCGAAGCGGGCGACGGCGCGGTTACAGTACAGGTCCCATACGCGCTCGGGTGCCTGGCTCGCGTCGGCGGCGAGGAGGTAGACTGCGTCGCGAAGGGTGACAAAGGTCTCGAGGAGCTCGAGGTGAGCGGCGCAGTCTGCTGTTGAGGGGACGGTGTCGGATGTGACGGTGGGTTGTGTTGTTGCGAGCTTTGATTGTTGTTGGTGCTCAACTGAGGGGGCTCTGGAGTGATTGTAAGCATGTGTTCTTTCTTGCAATACGACTGAGGGCGAACCAACAGGTTGGAGAGAATGGCCGGCATTTTTGGGCGATGATTTACAGGATCCGGTCCTTTACTGGTTTGGTGTTGTTTAATATGAGGGTATCTTGAGTTTTGGGCGCTTTCTCAACTGACTCGGCAGCTCAACTTCGGTAGGATGGATGCAACAGACAAGTAGGATGCAGACAAAGCTATCAGTCAATCTTCTTCAGCTCTTCACTTCAAAGGGGACATGCCGCGTCTCTTATCAGGACGGCAGAAGCCCATTCGAACGAGCAGGGGTGAGCTTTATCTTGCTGCATCGTCGCACATGACAAGCAACAGCCCTGTGACCGCTGCCACCGAGTCCCAAAACGGCATGGAGGTGAGCAGGTTTCAGGACGCCAGCGCAAGACGGATCGCTGTGCCATCTTGTGCCATCTGACAACGGCACGACGTGATTGGTGAGGTGGCCGTACGATCCACGGATAGGCGTAACGGGCGACTCAGGCGGCTGGGCCGGGAACGCGGGGTGGTCCACGGTGGGCGGTGGGGTGAAGCATTGGGAGGATGGGAAACTTGCGCATGTCCACCAGCGAGACGGGGTTGTTTCTCGACTGTTGCGGTAAAGTCGGTGACTCGGCCCCGCTAAGAGAACCCCACTGATCTGTTGGAGTCTTGAAGAGACTGGACGAAGAGAAAGAGACGCAAATACTCAAGACTGAGGGATTCTTAGGCTCGGTCTGGGTTCATTTAGCGTCGCTCTTATTCAGACGGGTGTGGGGGGCTGAGGTTTCATTCTGCGATTCGGGGAAGTGGCTGGATTTCACTTGTGATTCTTCAGCTTCACTTTGCATACATGTACACTTCCACCCAACTTACCTCTCGTCATGAGTGAGAGGTTGATGCAGCCAAGTATTCTCAGAGACTGTCGAACGCAACCATCACGCCTATTCCTCCCTCATGGCTCTTACATAGACCCATCTACTCCACGAGTCGCCCAGATCCCAATCGGGACAGGCACGGCGTATTGGTCTCACAAGCAAACACTCATCCTCAGCCTTTGTTGACAAAACTCATCCATCAGAGAGGGCCACAGCCTGGCTCGTACACCCTCTCGTTCAAACCCACGGAATACCCTTCTCCATCAATCACCTTCACTTGTCTCCATCGAAGCAGCTGTAGAAATCCTCGCTGATAAGCTTCTCTAGCTTCGGCTTCTCCCAAATAAGCTAACTTACCTGCCGAGTGGAGGCCGTCAGCTCAAAACTATGTGCCTATAAGCAAGCAGGCTCTGGCTCCCTGCACCTTTCTTGCATATCTCTCGGTCCAGAATGTCATTGGGGGCCAAGCTCACTCGTCCTACGCCGTAGGCAAATGAGGGCCGCGATCGCATCACCACCTTTGTCCAACAACCAACGCCAACCCAATGGTCCAGAGCCCACGTTGCTGACAACAGTCTGATTTGATCGTCGGTCAGACCGGCCGAGACTGGCATATTGAGGCTTGAGGACCATCGACTCTATGCTGTACCCTATGCCTTCGTGGAACCGTGTCCGTGTCTCCATTCTCACCCCGTTCTGTTTGCTGTTTGTCCGACGAGGGTTCTAGATCTTACGGTTTGTACCATGCTGTGTCTCTGTCAATCGTCTGTTTACGGTCCCCAAGTCCGAGGTGAACCTAACCCAATTCATGCATGTCTTCACGTAGATCCAACCAATCCCCTCCCCGTTGGAGGATGAACGCCTCCTGCTTTCCTAATTCAGCATTTCATCTCGAAACCTGTTGGTACCAACGGGACATGGGGTCCGGTCTGCAATATCTCTTTCTCTGATTGCGGCGTTGCGGCGTAGAATGAAGCGAAGCCCAACACCCCCAGTCCTAATGCTCCCTCTCTTCGCCGTGTTCCTGCAAATACCCGTCCATGCCCAGTCACCCGGCTGGCCGCATTTCTGGCCTTTTCTTCGTCATATCCTTTTCTTCGTGTGCTTTTGAGACACTTTCATTATGAAAGTCCCGTGGCTTGCGTTGCCTTTCATAACTGCTCTGGGGCCTGTCCTTGGTGAGCTAGATGTTAGACAGGCCGTGAGCAGCGCCAGCCCTTCGGAGAGCCCCCTTTCTTCTGCTACTTCATCCGTCTTCTCCGCTCCGACGTCCGTTCCGGCGCCGACTACCAACAGTAGCGTGTATGACCTTTCGCAGCACTTCTGCCGCATCTGGAGACATGCAAGTGAGTTTGAGCTCCCCTCGCTCCATCATTCTCTGATGAAGCCTAAACTCATTGGCCGCAGGTGTTTTGGCCGACGGAAAGATTTATGTCGACGGCGGCAACACGTACGTGCCGAAGAACAATAAGACATTCTACAACACGGAAGCCGGTCAATATGACGGGGGGATGAGTGAGCATGCTGTCACCAGAGCCATGTGTCTTGCGATTCTAACGCACCCAGACACTCAAATCCTAGTCCTAGACCTCTCCCAGAACTTCACAAACCAGGAAACTAGCCCGTACTCGTCCATCTTCAAGAGCCCCGACGTTCCCAACGGCCTCATCGAACATGCGCTGTGGTACTCCCAAACCACCCGCAAGATCTATCAGCTCGGAGGGTGGTTCTCTTTCAACAACAATTTGAACCCGTCCTACATTGGTGACAAGGATATACCCGAGCCGGCCATCTGGGAGTTTGACGTTGATGGCGAGAGATGGTCCAAATCGGTCGACTTTGAAGTGTCGAACAATGGCGAGATTGTGGACAGGCCTGGCGCTGCAGCCTTTTGTGACGCACCGACGTTGAATAGGAGTTACATCTTTGAGGGATACGTGCAGAAGAGATCTAGTCCTGCGAATGCCGCGTATGCCGCTACGGCAGACTTTCGGTGTAAGTTTATGTTGATGTCCCAAACCCACCCCCTACCTAGTCAGTGGGAAAGAAGTGCGTCCTAATATCTTGCAGTTCTCGAAGGCATGCTCGAGCTTGATACCGCAGAGCGCTCTCAGCCGAAGCTCACCAACATCTCCGTCCCGACATACGTCGGCCCGCGTATGAACGGCGCAATGGTTCACGTACCCGTCGGCGAAAAGGGCATCATTGTCAATATTGGCGGCCAGACCACGCGAGACCCAACACCTTTTGGTATTCGCATCGAGGGTGCTAACGCAGGAAATGTCAATGTAAGTCTCCACGGACGTCTCTTGCTTTAGCGCATTTGAACTAACGCGCCGCAAAAGACAAACCTCTCCTTCGTAGACATCTACGACGTCGAAACAGGCTTCTGGTTCCGTCAAGAAACCTTTGGCCTCCCCGACATCCCCACAGGTCGCTCCGACATCTGCGCCGTCCTCGTCCCCGTCGCAGACAAATCCTCCTGGAACATCTACATGATCGCTGGCGTCGAGAACTACGCAACCTACATCACCTCGGAGGAGATCTGGGTCCTCACCCTTCCGACTTTCACCTGGATCCTCGTGCATACCCGCGCCGACGGCATGTACGGCCACACCTGCCACGCCGTCGGCGAGAACCTGCTTATCGTGGGCGGAATGCAAACCAAGAATGACGGGGGCATGCAGAACGTGAATACCTGCGCAGAGCACATGCCCGTCGAGATCTTTTCGCTCGCGAGCCAGAATTATACGGGCCGGTATGATACCCAGGCTGCCAAGCGACTTGCGCCCGTGCCGTCGCAGGTTGTCGCTGCCGTAGGCGGGACGTCGTCGGGTGGTGCGAGTCAGAGGGCGCCGAGGGCGTGGAGTGATGTGTATTTGCAATACATATTTGATCCGTCGCTGAGGAGGCCGGCGTATACGCCTGAGTATACCCTCGTTGTGGAGCCCAGCAGCACGGCGTCGCCGTCGTCATCTGCTTCATCGACTACCCAGCCGGACTCGGATGGTCCGTCCAAGGGGGCTATCGCGGGCGGCGTTGTAGGCGGTGTTGCTGCCATTGCGCTGGTGGGACTCGGTGCGTTCCTATTCCTCCGGCGGAGGAAGAAGAGGAGGGCGCATGAGGCGGCTGCCACGGAGGTATCGCGACAGAGCGCCATGTCGGAGCTGCCTGGCTACACACCCTACTCTTCTCCCGAACCGAAGCCTGGCTTCCTCGACTCACCCACGTCGCCTGGCCACCACCACGACGTCCATGCCCATGCTGCAGAACTTGAGGTTCCAGCTAGTGCGAGCGAGATGCCCAGCAGTCCGCGATACGGCGGCTCATCGGTCGAGATGGGAAGCGACGTTACAGCTAGCCCAAGGGTTGGCGATGTAAGCCCGCGTGTTGGTGATGTGAGCCCGAGGGTTGGCGATATCAGCCCAAGGGTCCCTGGTGATGTTAGTCCTACGCTTGGGGATGAGGGGTATGGGTATCATGATGGGCGGAAGACGGAATATCAACCTGGAAGGTGATATTTGCCCCGGAAGTGGTCTGGTATTCGCTGCATGATTGAAGGTCGTTGGTTATGGTGGATCTTTCTCAATACGGAGTGTTTCGAAAGTCGGGTTACTATTCAAGAACTAGTAAACTTTTCTTAAGAAGAAGACGTAAATGATCCTGTACTAAGCATAGTAATGTCTATTACTCCCGGAAACTATCTGCAATTCTGAGCCTTGGAAGGAAATTTTCGTCGACTTTACGAAACTGTGAGTTCTCATTCAACTCTTGGAGTATACTTGAGCGGCATATCCCCTTACTTTTCCTCTTTAGGATTCTATGTGGCACTTAGACGTCCATACTCGCGTCCGTCCGGCGACTATTCCTGATGATGTCCCAAAGAAACTTGACTTGAGTGTCCAAACTGGATTACTACTTTGCTTTTGAACCCCTTTTGATGGAGAACTTCAGATAGAATCGGAACCGGTCTCGGAGCTAACATCTTCGAATCCGCTGTCAGAGACAGAGAGGTAGCCATCCTTAACGGCGTCATCCATATTCGAGTCTTCCAGATAGACAGCGACATCCTCGTCAGGCGATGCTGAGGCGGACTCTGAGGCCATGGCCAACACATTCGTACGGCTGATGTCGAATTGATGATGGGAAGAGGGCCCCTGAGCTGGCTGGCGGGGCTCTCGGGTACTGCCAAGAATGTGTTGGTTCTGCTTCTGGAGACGACTGTTCTCCTCTTGTAAGGCCTTGATCGTCTTCCCCAGCTCGTCGATATGGACCTGTAGCTGAACTATCTGCGTCTGGTCGACATCCTTTAGCTCCTCAAGGCGACTGATAATATCTTCAGCTTGGCTCAGAGCGTCCTTAAGCTGGCAGATCTCAATTTGGTCGAGATCCGCTATGGCGAGATTAACTTCCAGGATGGTTAGGGAAGAAGCCATGGTGTGTGGTGGAAGAACTTTGGGGTCGTGTGGTGTCTAGATGGTAGTCTGACGTAGTTGGTTTGTGGTATTTGTAGGCTTTCGAGGGTGTGTGATGCTCCTTTGTGTTTGGGTAATGCTGAGAAGGGGCTGAACTCGATGTCTGGTTTTTGTTAGCCAATGTGTAATCTGGGATTCTGTGATGGAATAGAGAAGTTTGAGGAAGAGAGTTGAAGAAAGGAGCTGTCTCCTTTTATGAGAGTTCAATGGCAGGACTGGGTAGACGGGCCTGTGCCGGCAAGGAAATATGAAGTAGACTATTCACATCACTACTTGTCGATTTTGTAAGTGAATACGAGCTGAAGCTTAGAATTCCCAGAGAGGTCGTCACGATTCAAGGTCGCAAAGTTGGGTGACAGTCAGTTATGTACCCATAAACAGGCACAAAGGGACTAAGGATGCGTAATACTTGCACAAATACAAGTGAAGCACTCATAAACAACTAGAACAGGGGTTGAGGACGCAAGATAGGGGACTAAGCAAGTGATGAAGAGCCAAAGGGTGAAGTATGAAGCTGACCATACAGAAAGAGTTTAGAGGTCGCACAACTCATGACTAAGTGTGTGTGACGCAAACTCACATCAACCAAAAAGGGACCAGAAGTTGCAAAATGGGCGTCCGGGTGTGAGTGATTGAGCTTGGAGGACGTCGACCCGGGCATTCACTTGCGGATGATGGGCCTAAGAACTCGCTGCCGGAAGCTTGGAGTTGACGATCAAGAGGGAAGGGGAAGGGGGGGTTCATGGGAAGTAGGAACATGGACAGTGATGGAGTGCGTGGAGTCGGGGAAGAAGTGTAAACACGGGGGAAAGGAAGCTCACCAACCTGCAACTCCAACAGTGTCGTATTATCCACCACTTAGCTTAGTGACGTTCGGCCGATCGAAGCTGCAGGATATAGGCGGAAGCTATATAGTGAGGACGAAACGCATGCTATTGTTGGTGGAAGATGTGTACCTAGTTCTGGGCTGTTGACGAAATGGAGACTTCGACAGACGTGATGGGTGGATGATGGAGGGACGGGTGTCAAAGTCGGCACAGCGGGGAACAGGGAACTGCTTTCACAGCGTGGTATTGCGGTATTGATTTGATCAGTGATATCGGTGAACTAAAGAATGTTCTCAATGATCTCCTTTATTTAGAGGGAAAAGGTTTCTCATCAACAGATGAGTAAGGTAAAAAAGAAATGCAGAAGGGCGTTGTTGGTTGTGTGTCTTGGCTGGCTAGGCTTCCGTTGGAAGACCTTGAAGTGCAGTTGTTCTGGCCAAAATTCGATTGAGAAGTTGGTGCAAACGAGAACCATTTATATTGAAGAGACTTTGTACCTAATCAATCGCTCCAGGACTGAAGCCGTCAATCTGTTTCTTGTCCATGATACTGTTAACAGCCTTCGGTGTTGATGGCTTCAAGCAGTTTCCGACAATTTGGATTCTGCTTTCAAATGTTTGTGCCATACCTCAACCGCAGGTATATGTCCTCGAAGTTACATGGGCTCGGCGCTTATGGTCTTGCTAAGCGCCTTGGGAGGTCGGCAAACCAATAGCATTCAAGTTGATTAAGATGTTACGAGCTCGAGAGCAACAGGCACTCCAAAGAAGACTCTCGCTACCTCTGCGTGCAGCGGCTTGAGGGGTTCAGAAGACCCTTACGTATACATTGCGATAGATTCATAGATCATTCATCCCAGTATACTCAAGAGGCTCAACATAACTCCCCGATGATCGAGAGAATCGAACGTTAGGGATGGGCGATCAAATCTCACTTGTGAGAAGGCTCCAAAGTTGGTAAGGCAGAATGGAGAGCTAAAATTACAGGCCAATCATGTCTTCAACCTCTCAAACACTGGTTGGCCTCCGACATGACCGATCAGTTGATTGCGAGTAGCCCCTGCCTCACATGTTTTTTGCGTCGGACGCATGTCTGGGGATCAGAATTCCAGGCACCAATGTGACAAGGAGGTCAAGACCCTCGGTCCCATTCCCTGTTTTGCTGGTGATCTTTTCATTGATATCTCACTGCAAGTAAACGAAATACATCCAGAGCGCGATGCAGGCACTCAGAAACGGAAAGGTTTATGCTGAGGTGGTAGCTGTTGGCCTGTTGAGGTCGAAAGTGCTTCCGCCGGGTGTCAGCAACCAACAGCTACTTCGCGGGGTCAGCGGAGAAAATACAGAGCCAACACCACCGGAAGACAGCGAGGATGAGTCCGACGAGCCATCAAGACTGAGAAAGGTGCGTTGAATCATGCATCTAAGTAGGATACACATGCCACTAACATGTCTGGAAACTTCGAGGCCGCCGACTGGGTTCGTGAAAATCCCGGGACGACTGTATGTTATGGCGTGAGTGCAGGCAGTCTTGTTGTTTTGGCCGCACCAGCTCTCGTCGCTGCACCAGCCCTGGGACTTGCGGGGTTTGGTTCGCAGGGAATTGTCGCCGGTAAGTAAAAGCCTCAGGCTTGAGGCGTAGTCAATCTTCGCAGTTGAACGTCTTGATCACTGACTCTTCCGGGTTCATAGGCTCTGCGGCAGCGGGCGTCCAAGCCGGAATCGGGAACGTGGTGGCGCCGAGCCTCTTTGCTACCCTCCAGAGCGCCGGTGCGGCTGGCTACGGCGCCGCGGTCGTCAACGGGGCTATACAGGCCGGCGCCGGGGTTTCTGCTACTGCATTTGCGTGGTGGGGAACAAAGAAGAAAGCTTGCGGAGAGACGAAGAAGGAGGAAGACGGAGGCGGAGAAGGGAAGCCAAATGCCGAGCAGGACTAGGAGCGGGTAGCAAGTAAGACTTTTATCTGTAGTTAGATTGAAGGACGAATGGATCGATGCGAATTTCATGATAATATCAAGTACCGCTGGGAATCAGTCATCGCGAAGCTTTGATGTTATAGATGCGAAGGCCCCGTCAGGAAAGCTGATCTGCGTGATGCCCTAGCTTTCAGCTAATTTGAAGATTGCACCGTTTCTGTTTCTAACCAGTCTGGACAAACTAGACCTTGTAGTTCAGATCGACCAGTATGATGACATACTTCGCCATCCTTAATAGAGTCAACGCCCGTAGCGCTACTGGTGCCATCATAGACCGCCGCCTTTATTCTGCGAGTCTTTCCATTTAGGCAGCTGCAGGAGAAATGGGGAGGGCCATCTTATGGATCGCGCTTCTCAAGGGTGTTTGCATGTGTGCTACCGTCGATGTTAGTGCCTGTTGGTGTAGGGACTCTGGATGTAGGGCGATGATCAAGAAATTCGACGTCCGAAGAACATATTTTGAAAAACAATATTTGGCCTGTTTCTTTGCCAAAACGATCCAAAATCAAGAACGTAACACTCAGCGGGAAAGGTGGTATTTGATTCATTGAAGGTCACTATTCAACTGAGGTGGTTGAAGATGGCTTCCTATGTTCCATGAGGCTTCGATGACTAGGAACAACCACTCGATCTTGCACTAATTCAACTGTGCACAGCACTGACAATCCAGGACATTGGTATCGTAAGTGTCAAGCTTCGCGCTGAGGCCTGCTAAGCTTTCAGGGCCGCCCGCAAAAACCTGGAGAAAGCGTCGCCTACGGGCCTTAAGCAGTGTCATCTGGGGATTCCTCTGCCCGACAAAGAGAGTCAAAAAGCACCAAAGGCTCTTGTTTTTATGAGCGGGTAATTATTTTGCGTTGGCGTCTCGAATTTCTCGGTTCGTCCGATGCGTCGCAGATCTGCAGGCTGTCTGCGTCTACTGTAGTGAGCGTGACTGGCCTTGAGACGAAGCTTGACTCGGTTCACTGTCTTTGCGCCCTACTTCTGTGGTCGTTGGGGTTCTCGAAGGGCCTGTTGGAGAAGCACCAGGAACCCTCAAGTCGGAGACTCCGTCGAACTCTGCAACTCGGGTGTAAGGGTCTTGGTCTCCGTTGGATTGCGAAATTTTCGAAGGCGAACGGCAGGCAACTGAGTGCGAAACGGCCATTTCTGGGAGACAGTCATCCAGGTACGACTGCGTAGGCAAACTTCGTGCGTTGAACTTGACCCTCAAGCTCCATGTCACCAAGGTTCGCAAAATTGCCACGAGGCAAATAATAAAAAGCTGCTCAGATCAAGGGCTCTATCAACACGCTCCTCCCAGAACTTTGAAAGTGCACCCGAATCACTCGGAATCACTCGATCGCGAAAAACCACATCAGCTTCAGAGCCTCAACCAGCACTTTCACGTTCAGATTCCCATCTTCTTCCCAGGAATCATGCATCTCTTCAAGGCCGGCCTACCCGTCCTTGCCGTGTGTTCAGTCATCCAAGCCATCCCTGTCAACACTGGCGAAAGACGCGATACGGCCTTACACCGCCACGATGGTCTCAAAGCTTCAGACACACGACAGCAAAACAGAAGTGCGGGCGGTTTCGTGCCTCCTCATATTCTCAGGAATATTACCCGCAGTCCTTTCGCCACAGACGACGAGCGCCGCACTGCAAATCGGACCTCGGTGATTGACGGGGAGCGGCATGGGCCGCAGCAGTCGACGGATTAATCGGTAGCTGTTGGGACTCAACTAGAGGGGCGAAAGGACAGCCACAGACTCACAGCGTGGTCTCACTTGGCGAACTTCGGTAAAGAGCATAATCAGTCCGCGGTCTTGCTGCCCAGGTTGCTGACAACAGGACAAAAGAAAGGGTCGCGTTTCAAAGATTCAGCTCGGACGCAGGGACGGCAGACTGCCATCCGGAGACTCAGCCAACTCGGCCTTTGCGAGCCCCGCAAGCCCGGCGGAATACGGCCGAGTGTGGAGCTGGTGATGGTCTTGGTGAAACATCTTGTCCTATGCGCCGTCTTTGGGAGGAGATAGCAGGCAATCCGTCGAACCAAGAGCCCACGATCCCGAGGCCAGCTTCTCGCCCAGTTGCCCTGCGTTTGGCGGCCTTTCTTTTCTTCGCAACCACGAGACAGACGTGGCTCGGAACGACCGGCAGTCTTTGCTGCAAGTCAACACTTTACTTCAATGGGTGGTTTATCGCACCTTATCACTGATTGCCTCTACGCATTTCATCGAATTGCAGGGCGGGAAGAAAGCGTGGCTGGATATCGTATGCCGCGAGCTGGAGAAAGCGCTGGAAACCTTGGTCAAGACTAGATTTCTCGCTACTTTATCGAAATGAAGCTATTCCCATCAATTCCCTCGCATTGGCCCCTGATAGGCCACGTGTTGTAGATTAGCAAACCTTCGAGGTATCCGAACTTTGGAAAGTTTGCAGGCCTTGCTGGACCGTGCTTCGCAACTATTTGACATGCTGACTCACCATCCGAGCACAAAAGAGAGACGGCCTATGTAGGTTCGGGGGACCTAGGGGATTCCTTCGGGATCATCTCCGGGAACGGGAGTCTACCGGGTCCGGATGGCGGCGACGCCAACTGCCGACGATATACTGGTTTTCCTTGGTTTTGCTCGGGCCCAGAGGGATAATGCGGGCCCGTTTCTAGGGTTCTTCCAAGGAAACATCACGGATCCGGTGCGTTGCATCACCTGTCGGATCCTGGGCGCGACGGTGGGCGGATGCTCGACAAGACTACTCCGACTGACTCCCTGAGGTCACACTGCTCGGATATGAAGGAAAAGCTTGCGCATCTATATACAGCAAACGGTACACTTCGGGAGGAAGAGAGTTTGTGTGGCATTCGTCGAAAGCGGCTATGCAAAGACACGCGTTGTATGACGTCCAGCCAGGCCCAGACAAACGAGTTTCTCCATGAAAATAGCCCACGGGGACTTGGGGACAGTTTGATGTGGATGGGCAACGGTGGCTGGACGATCCGATGTGCAACGCTCATTGCACAGCACCATCACACTTTAATTGGGGCTCTTTTTTCAGGTAAAGTTGAGAGTTATATCAACATGGGGCGACAACTCAGGGGCTCGCAAAGGTTGTCTTGGGTAGATGACATAACCGCGCAGGGATATCCCAGCATCACCGCCCACGTCCAGCAAAGTCGTATTTAGGAACTCCCAGAGGGCGCTTCTCCCTTTTCGTACACGTTGTCCAACTACTACTATCTTATCTTCGGTCGGTCGTTCTCACATACGTGTGTTCACGGTTGTATTTCTCTCTTCTCCGGTCCACTGAGCCTCACTTTCAGATGCCGGCGGTCGCAGCTCCAACAGCGCCTTCCAATTCATTCCCTCGTTCATTCTGAAAGAAAAGACACACACTTCCAGTAGACCACACGCATGTTTGCTCGCAACACCCGAGCGAGACAAAAAGGCACCATGTGGGAAGAATCCACGCGGGGCCGGGAGGGGCAGCAGTTTAAAGAGCAGAGCCCATACGGCGACCACGACGCCGTAGGTGAAAAGGCATCGGCCGTTGCCGCCGCAGCCTCAGCGACAAGAAACAACGCAGACAAGATCAGATGCCTCGATGGGCTCCGTGGAATCGCCTGTTTACTCGTCTTCAACTACCACTTCCTATGGCCATGGACGCCGGCCATCATGCTTGGCTATGGAGCCATGCCCCCCGGATCGCCCGAGCCGTACTTTGAACCGTCATCCCTGCCCATCCTGTGCCTCTTGCAACGAGGACGTCCAATGGTGGCCATTTTCTTTGCCATCTCGGGATACGTCCTCTGCCGACATATTCTGAGAGCGATTCACGAGCGACGCTTCGAGGCCGCTTACCAGAGCCTTGCGTCGTCTGTCTTTAGGCGCGTATTCCGCCTCTATATCCCTCCCACCATCAGCATGTTCCTCGTTGCGCTGCTTGCTCAAATGGGCGCCTTCAAGTCCGAGTTTGAGATTTACAAGGGGCCCGACTCGAGATACATCAACGGTACTGTGACTGTTGCCACGTTGAACAACACTTGTGTCAACGGCACGTACTACGTCGAAGGAGCCTCGGGGATTGCCAAGTTTTTGGGATTGCAGACTCCGGCTTTCCTGGGAAATATCACGACCAACGACACAAACACGCTCTGCCTAAATGCCACGTCCCAACTCTTCATGCCTCCAATGTTGTATGCATTGGCAGATGACATTGAGGCCGCTTCCAAAGCGGTGAATGAGACGAGCAGCCTGAACGGCACTGCAATTAACATCACGATGCAGGATGTTGGAGACAAGGAGACGCCTGAGAAACACAGGTCCTACCACGATCTCCTTCATCTGCACTCTAGACCATCCCTTCTCGATGACGAGAAAGACTCGGCCAACGCCACCAACCCGGTGAACTTCACTTGGGTCCAGCTAGGCGGCTCATGGGAGGAGCATCCCTTCATCCACGACAACATCACCTACGCTCTGAAGAACTTCACGAGAGCTTACGTCGAGTGGGCCAATCCTTTCAACTTTGGTCACTACCACACGCGCTACGACCCGCACACCTTTACCATCCCAATGGAGCTCCGTGGCTCTATGTTCATCTACCTCTTCCTGCTCGGCACGGCAGCTATCCAAGCTAAATGGCGCCTTCGAATTGGTGCCTTCCTCTCCGTCTACAGCTTGATCCTTGGACGGTGGGACATGGCCACCTTCATGGGCGGCGTCCTCCTCTCAGAAGCGGATATCAGACGGGCTGACCGAGGACTGATCCCCCCAGCGACGAATGGCAGGAAAGGCCAGCAGGCAACTATCGGACAAAAGTTCCTCGGATCAAGGACAGCTCGATGGGGAGCGCTCTTCGTGGCACTCTACCTGCTCTCGTACCCCGACGCCGGAGCTGAATGGACACCCGGCTTCACTCTGCTCTCCTCGCTCGTGCCACGTTACTACATTCCCCTCTCCGGCTGGATGTTCTATCAGGCCATGGGTGCTATGCTCCTCCTGCCCTGTGTCCTTCACAGCCCCTTCCTTCGCGGCGTGCTCGAGGGACGGGTGGCGCAGTACCTGGGCAAGATCAGCTTCTCGTTCTATCTCGTCCATGGGCCGGTGCTGCATAGTCTAGGATTCTGGATCATGCCTAGGCTCTTTGAGCGTTTCGGCCGCAACCTGGGTTTCGTTGTCGGCTGGGTTATTCTGCTGAGCGTGTCGCTGTATTTGTCGGACTGGTGGTGCAAGAAGATCGATACTTGGAGTGCGAGTGTTGGACGCCGGGTAGAGAAGGCATTGAAAGACTGAGCTAAAGCTCCGGAGTTTTGTAAAAATTGTTTTAGTACCTATTCTCTAGGGAATAATCAAAAGGTCATGATACCCTCAGCTGGCTTCTGAACACCCACCTTGATGGCCCTGAAGGCCCTCATCTAATCCCTCTTAGGCACCAAAAGATGGGCCATCTTCCAACAAGCATCGTCTGTTGTAGTCGATGGCCGAGCGGTACGATTCGTATGTTGGCTTATGGTCCTACATAATGCCATGGATAGCTTGTTTTTTTTGCTAAGGTCGGGGGTTCGAGTCGACTCTGGTCGTTTTTTTTCCTCTTCATCCTTCACCGCCTACATACAGCAGTGAGGGAACGGCTCATGAGGTCTCCGTGCAAATATTCATGCCTTACCGATGAACTCCCCTCCTGTACGCGGTATATCAAATGAATAAATGGCACGATGTTTGAGCAGATACATTATCATTGTCCAGCTTTATTACACAGGCGAGATGATACTGAGATATACAATAGCCCAAATATCTGTGAGATGATGATCGAGCCTTGAAGTGGGGCCCACGTCTTCCCATGGTATGACACATTATCAACCATCAGTGATGACGCTGAACGATCATCTTGTTCCTCATGCTTCTCCTGCGTCGCGTAGGATGCGCGGGCTGTTTCCAGATAGGCTGATCAGGATCGTAACCGACGAGGCAGTTGACCGTCTCCGCGCCCTCGCCAGCATCGTTAATCTCGCTGCCAACAGGGTTCTTCCATTGCCCAGTGAGCTTGATATATCCATCAAGAGCATCAGTCATCGTCTTGCCTAGCTCGAGCGCCTTGGTAGCTCTGCTGTGCGAGTAGTACGTGAGCAGCGAATGCGCCGCCTCACGCTCGTTGTTCTCGATGAGAACTCTAGCGCTCGTTTCGACCCAGTCCACGTCGCTGCGGCTCTGGTTCTCGAAGCCCGTGAGCATCTGCGTGACGATGGGCAGATAGGTGTCTGGGGATGAGCACATGTAATAAAGCACGCGCTTAAAAATGCGACCGGCAAAGACGCTCGCCTCCTGCAGCTGGAAATCCGGGTTCAGGAAGCTGCCGGAGGCGCCGGTCGTGAGGTAGCGGTGCTCGCCGAACTCAGGGGGCACGCTGTTGACGCCTAGCCACCACGGGACGAAAGGCGACGAGACGGAGGTGGCGGGTGCGTTCCAGATACGCATCAAGTCGGCGTCGATGCCGTCTTTCAAGCTGACGATTTGCCCATAGCCTGCTTCGTCATCGGCGATGCGCTTGTCGCGGACGCGCTCCATCAACTTCTCCTCAGTGAGGGGAACCATCTCGAGGGTGGCGTTCTCGAGCGCGGCTTGGGACATGAACTTGAAGCCACCATCGCGGGCCGTCATGTTCTCGCCCTTTTCGCCGTAAGCATTGAAGATGTTGAAGGGCACGCCCCCGTTGGGATCCCACCACCCTTGCTCGACGGCAAAGGAGATAATGTTCTCGGAACCCATGTAGTCGGAGCTGTTGGCAAAGTCGGTGGGGAAGTCCTCGATGTAGCCAGGGTACAGAACGCGAACCTCGTCGGTCTTGAGACGCTCAGCCGCCCACAGCCTCTTGCCGCCGGCCATCTCCCAGACGAC